TCTTTAGAAACAAAATGAATCAACGATGGCCAAAAGGAAGAGATTTTACAAGTAATGCAGCAGAACTCCACTGGCTTTTCCATGTGAGGATGAGTGTCCGGTACTAAGGGACCAACCACAGAAATACTCTGCAGTTCACCCTCACAGAGAGATCCGAGTCCTTTCCCTCCACACCTCTCTGAGCTCGCCTCACTGTTTGCTACAGGCAGACCAGTAATGCTGCATTTCTAACAGACTTCTGAAGCTCCAAGAGGATTACAATCCCAATTCACTTCGACCAATGATTATTAACATGAAACCAACGTGGCAAGGCCTGTGGCAGGCATGCAGGGCTGTGAGCATGAACAAGGTGCAGGAGCTTTCAGCCCAGGGGTTAAGAAGACAGAAACTCCAACAGGGTATAAAAGCAGAGCACAAGAAAGGTCGTAAGAGACAGTCCAGGAGAGTAGAAATAACGAAGTTCCAAGGAAGAAGTGGGAGGAAACCCTTAGTGGTAGAGCACCTTGCCCAAAACAGGCATCAAGCCAAGTATTTAATCTTCGAAACTGTTCTGCAGATGCAGAGTGAGTGTTTTTGCTTTTTTTTGTGTGTGTGTGCTTAGATGAGGAGACAAGACTATGAAGAGTCAGACTCAAGTATGTGTGACTCCGGTGCTATGTTCCTCTAACCACAGAATGCTAGTTCTCAGGAGAGATGACATTAGCTGGGGTGGAGAGAAGTACGGAAATAATTTGTGAAAGCATAATCTATGGAAGGCAGCTCTGGGAGTGTGCCAGGACAGGGGTGACCGGCACTCCATTCCCGGTGGGGACACGACCATGCAGAGCAGCAGGCAGGCCAGAAAGTCCACAGTGTATTAGGATCCAGGTTGGCTGAGGTGCAAAACACAAGGAGAGCTGGACCGAGAGCTAAGGTCAGAACAACATGTTTACAGTGAGGAGTATGTTCTTAATTCAGATGAGAACAAGAAACAAATGGAGAGCATTATAGCCACAGCTACATTTAGAACAATTAATCTGGGACAACATATGCCTAGAGCCAATACCAACTAGACAGCACTTTGGTGAGAATTAGACAAATGAGTCTTTCTGGGAAACCACAGCCCAAGGGTGGAAGCCACGGTAAACACGTTGACACTCTGTCTGATTCATCAAGGTTGCCCTGCCCCACACGCCTGTGCTATGAAGAACTTGGGAAAGCATGGGGTGAGGCCCAGATAGAGCCACGTTTCTTCATCTTGAAAACCTGTGAACTTGGGTTTCCAAGAACTGAGTTAAAAAGCTGATGACCAGGCAAGTAAAATGCCAAGGCTGAGAAGATCAATGAGGGCTGTCAGTACAAGAACCAAAGGGGACCTTGAAATCTCATCTCGGTACTGGTCATCCAGCTGGCCCAGAAAGTGCTTAAGTCAAGCTTTAAAAAGATTATTAAAAATGAGCAAATTTTCAAAGTTTCCCATACCGAATACTTGAACTCTGAGGCTGTATCTGTAGGCCCAAGTTGAAAACCACAGGGGTAAAAATGGTTTTCAAATGGGGTGTGAGACCATTTCCTTAACAGGTCATTTGTAAATTGGGGAGGTAGTGAGGAATTTTCGTAATCAAAGTGGATGATCTGGAGGGAGGGAGCACGGTTATTTAGAGGACAGCGGCCAGGATGCCCAGTGGGTGGGAAAGTCATGACAATTACCTCACCAAGACATCCCATTACAGCCCCACAGGGCTGTATGTTTCATAAAGGAGTGACCAGCTTTGTCTTCCACTTAAGCACTGAGGGAAAGCAGCAAAGACTGGTTAGATGAGAATAAATGAGGAGGATAGAAAAGACACAGGAGGACCAATCTGGAAGTGATGACAGAAGTAAAGGTGAAAAATCAAATTAGGTACTGGCTGGGAAATGGGGACCTTTGACAGAGCTAACACCCCCAGACTGGCTGTTGTCAGGGAAGGAGATGAGCAGGCTGTTCATAGCACAAGGCAGCAGAGGGCTGAGGAAAATGAGTTGAACTTGAGGTTTCTAAGCTTGGGGAAGAGAATGGTGCCATTCGAAATAGTGGAGGTGGAAATAAATTACTTTGGTAACAGACTCAAGAGTTATATTAACCAGGTGGCCAAATTTATGCAGAATAAGAGCATCAGTTTCTCCAAGAAGACTAAAAAGCAAACTCTTCTGTCCTACCGCTTTGGGGCCATTCTCTCCACAGACAAGTGGTAAAGCATTTTAAAAAAATCTAAAGTCTTTTCAGTTTTCTTGTACAATGTACATGATCCAAGACAATTACCCAATCTACCTATTTAAGTAGTTCCAGCTGGAATCAGGACCTGAAAAGAGCTTTTGTCAAGATCTATGCAGACATCTCCCCCTAGTGGCTAACAAGAATCCAGGACAGAATATCACTCCTTTTAACTTGGGACCTTTGTCTTACGGAATCTCTGATGGGCTCCTTATTCTGGCCCTTTAATTTTCTCTCTAGAACTGCTATAGCATTTTATACTATCAAGCAGCATATTTCAGAAACATGAAATGGAAGCTGCTAAACTGAGACTGTTATCCACTAACACGACCCACTGTGGTCTCAGGATTCCTTTGGCTTAACAATCAAAAAGAACAGGGTTTGAGATTCAGCTGCCCAACTGTAGGTCCATAAATCCAAGTTTAGTTCTCTCATCAGTAAAATAAAAGAAGATTAGACTGGATGGTTATTAAAGTTCCTTCCAACTTTTCTACATTCAGTTGTCTCCAAAAGAAGCCCAAGGGAAGGTATGTTTTCAATAGTTCTTTTTTTTTTAGCCTATCCAATAATCTTTGGTAATGACAAATCAATCAGTCAAAGCCACAATGTGATCATTTTTAGACTCTTTGTCCCCCTAAAAGAAAGGCTGTAAAAAAGGACGCATATTAGAAGGACTCTCAAAACAAAGTAGACTAGCTTTTAAGAACATGAGTACAGAGATAGGGAATTCTTCAGCAAAGAACACATCTTTAATATGCAAGATCTGCCAAACACACATTTCTGCATTAAAAGGAGATTTGGAAGATGTTCCCTTACCGTTCTACATATGATTCATCCAGATTATTGAAGCCTATTGTTGGGCTTCTGAGCTGATTCTGCACAGACATAAGATCATTGTTTTCCAAGGCCTGGTTTAGTAAAGCAACAGCAGACAGCATTTCCACTGCAATCAAGAGCTCCTCGTGGGCCAAGTAGTTCTGTTGAAAAATGTAAGCAATAAAAGTTTCCCAAATTACACACTTCATGTATGTGATGGGGTTTTAGAATGCATTTTTTTTTTTAAAGTAGGTTCCACGTCCATCATGGAGCCCAACTTGAGGCTTGAACTCACAATCATGGGATCAAAACCTGAGCTGAGATCAAGAGTTGAATGCTTAACTGACTGAACCACCCAGGCACCACTAGAATGCATATTTCAAAGAACAATGAAAAATTAAAGATTTTGAGAACCCAGGAGGAAGAGGGCTCACTGGCTACCTGTTTGTCACTGGCTTTAAAGAATAGGTGAAGACTTCCGGGTTGTCCTTAGCTGATCATTTTGGGGACAGAGTTAATGGCAACCAATGGTTATGATTCCACAAACATGTGCATTTCCATAATTGATTCCCGCCAGTTTTATTAGCTGCTTACAGGCTCAGACTTACTAAATAATTAAGTGAAGGATTAGACAATGCTGTCACTGTCTCAGGGTGTGAGGTTAAGATTTTAGGGAGTGATTTTCAGTTTAAATTAAGAGTAAGGAAAAAAGGGGAGAATTTCACCTATAACCCCAGAAAGATAAACTACAATTGTTAAGGCAAGAGTATCAATTCTAGTTCCAAAAAAGTTAGTCTGAGTCACTCTTTAATAACTGGGTAGAAAATTTAAAATATACTCTGAGTCCTGAATATTTGAAGAAATGTGAAGTGTATCTTTTGGTAAATGTAAGTAGGATTTATAATTCTGGATTTGCCTTATTTAAAAAAAATACAGCTCATGGTAGGTATTCTTGTGATGTGCATAGCATAAAGTATAAACTTCTCAAGTCACTATCTTGCACGCTTGAAATTAATATAGCATTGTGTATCAACTATACTCAAATGAGGGACACCTAAGTGGCTTAGTTGGGTGAGCGTCTGACTCTTGATTTCGGTTCAGGTCATTATCTCTTGGTTCATGAGATCAAGCCTTCACTGGGTTCTGCTCTGTCAGTGTGGAGCCTGCTTGGGATTCTCTTTCTCCTTCTCTTTCTCTGCCCCTCCCTTGCTTATGCTCTCTGTCTCTCAAAACAAATAAATAAACCTAAAAAAAAAACTATACTCGGGGCGCCTGGGTGGTTCAGTCGGTTGGGCGGCCGACTTCGGCT